CGGCCTGCCTGGCTCCTTTTCCCAGGAAGGGAACCATCCCCTGGCTCCGAGGGCCTGACTGTCCAAGCTGTCCCCACCCAAGTGAGCAATTGATGAAAGCCCTGTGTTGTATTAAATGTACAATCTTAAGGGCTTTTCCGACGGTAACAATAACACAGATGACCCAGTAAACCACATTATGGGGAAAGGGGATGGGGGATGGGCAACTGCAGGGTGTCAGGACTGGGGAAGAAACCACTGGGTAGTTAAATTTCTCCGAAGGATGATGACATGGCTTCCTGCAAAGGGTGGAAGGGAAGCACTTGACCTTCTCCCTGGCAAGGTTAGGGTGTGACACGCTCCACAGCAAACTGCCTACCAGACTCCTGTTTCAGGAGTCAGCAAACCATAAATTATTTAGAATGGTACTATGGCTAGTCATCCTAGCAATCTGATTGGAAGGCCATTTGTGTGTGTGGGGCGGGGGGGCAGCTTTCAGTGGCAAATGAGCATTCAGTGGAAGAGGTCCGGTGGGTACTGGAAAAGGCATACAGGGGGTTACATTTAAACATGGTTTAGCATGAGCATAATAGCTAAAATTTAAAATTAGCACTTAATGTTTCCATCTCTATCCTTAGCACTTTACAAGTTAACTTGGGTAATCCTAGCAACCCTCTTAGGTGGGTACCTATAGTATTATCCCCATTCTACAGATGGGGAAACTAAGGTACCCAGCAGTGACGTAATTTGCCCAAGATTACTCAGATGTTCAGTGACAGAGCTAGAACATGAACCCAAGCAGGCTTTTAGCCACTGGAGAAAAGGAAGCAGCTTTGTTTTTATTAGTCCCGATTCCAAGGAGAGCAGTCGACTTCTTAGGCCTCGTTGTAGGACAGTCTGCATGTGTTAGCATGGCTGACTGGGGCTTTCCTTGGTTTTGTTTTTAATTCTGGCACGGCCAAAGGAGATGCCTGGGGTGGCAGAGCGTTTGCCTTTTAATTTTCCTCCTCTTAGGTCAGCGTTGAGGTCAGTCCAGAATCTCAGTTGATGATATCACAGCTGATAAGTTGTGCTTTGCCCTCCAGGGTTGTGGCATCAACACAGGGAATGACTCCTGGAGAGGAAGTGTGGAGGGCAGGGGGATTTCCATCCGTTGTCATAGCCCAGGGCACAGAGTTCTGAACTTTTGGCTGAGGGGAGGACCAGGCTACAGTCAAAGAAGTAAAGACTCCTCGGAGAGAAGACCAAGGCCCTAACCCAGGGGTGGGCAAACTTTTTGACTCGAGGGCCACAATGGGTTCTTAAACTGGACCGGAGGGCCGGAACAAAAGCATGGATGGAGTGTTTGTGTGAACTAATATAAATTCAAAGTAAACATCATTACATAAAAGGGTACGGTCTTTTTTTTCAATAGTTTTATTCATTTCAAACGGACCGGATCTGGCCCGCGGGCCGTAGTTTGCCCACGGCTGCCCTAACCCCATAAACCACCATAAGCCAAACTAGAACAAAGGTGGACTGATAGGTGCCCAACAAACAAAAGAAAACAAACACATGCCCTTCACCCACCAGCTGGTGTCCTGCAGCTCAGGAGCTTCTCAGCGTTTCGAAGGACAGATCGTGGCGAGTAAGGGCAGTTGCCTCTCTAGGGTCCCCTGAAAATGCAGGGTGACCAGAAACGGCTGAAACATGGGTGTCTTCCACGAACGGGCCGTTTTTTTAAAATATATTTTATTGGGAAGGGAGTGGGATAGTTAGAAACATTGATGAGAGAGAAACATTGATCAGCTGCCTCCTGCACACTCCCCCCTGGGGATGTGCCCGCAACCAAGGTACATGCCCTTGACCGGAATCGAACCTGGGACCCTTGAGTCCGCAGGCTGACGCTCTGTCCACTGAGCCAAACCGGTTAGGGTGAAAGGGCCGTTTCTTATCTAGTGTCATCGCTCCTTGGGAGTTTCTTGACATGGGATTGTGACCCTATGATTTGACCTCCTCCCTGCCGCTCTCCCCCACCCCAAGCAATCCTTCTTAAGTGATGCTAGTCAAGACAGCAGACTCTCTGAGACAGACAGCACAGCTCCCTGGATGATCCGAGCAAGCATCTCCCGCTGTGCACTCCCTGGTCCCCAGGGAACACTCCCTTGCAGGCGGGGTGACGATTCACTTCCACTTAGTAACATGGATGCTCATTCTTTATACATGAAAACCTGGAGGTGGCCTCCGTCAACAATAACTAGGCTGATTTACCGAGTCTCTATAGACCAAGTGAAATGAATGTTAGTAGCGGAGCAATGAATTACTTATGCCTGCAAGCTGACTTCAGACGGGGAGCATCAACTGCTGAGGAAAGAAATGGAGCAAAGTTCCCCACAGCTGAAGACTACGTGGGAAATGGCTACACATGGGAAGGAGAGTGCTGGTTCATCTTCTAGTCCAGTGGTTCTCAACCTTGGCTGCACATTAGAATCACCTGGGAATCTTTTTAAAATCCTGATTTCTGGGCCTCATCCTCCGGACATTCTGTTTCTTTGTTATGGGGTGGGGCCAAAACATTAGTAACAAAGAAACAGAATTTCCGGAGGATGAGGCCCAGAAATCAGGATTTTAAAAAGATTCCCAGGTGATTCTAATGTGCAGCCAAGGTTGAGAACCACTGTTCTAGTCCTGCTGGTCTTCCCTTTAAATTATGTATTTATTGCTGTTGTGCCTGCTAATTCTATAGCATGGGCACATGTCTCTGGCTCACCTATATAGGGCTCTTAAACTTTTAATGTGTTCCAGCCAGGAATTTAAGGGCCCTAGTCCATCTATGCCTGTCCATTACTCAGAGTGCGGGGCAAATATGGTTTTGCTCAGCCCGAGATGGGCAATAAAAGTTCTGTAGTGTTTATACAACATGATCTCATAGCGCAGCAGGGGATTATATGTCACTTGCTCACTTGGTATCGATGTCCATGTTCCCAGGGCAGTGTCATTAAGTGATGATATCTTTGTGGCTTCCTTATGGGAGGTGGAGAGTCCACTTTAATAGAGCAGTCTTTATAAAGATGGAGTTGGCAAAGTACAGAAACTCCTCTCATTCTCTCTCTCTCTCTCTCTCTCTCTCTCATCCCTGTATTCGAGTTTGATGCTGGGTCTCACTTCTGGGTTCCTTCTGGACCATTTTTTCTTACTAAGCTTTTATGTGTTTACAAGGCATTTGAGAAAGTTCTCTTCAATTCTGAAGCTCCGGGTTAAATGATAGGATTTTGGTGAGAACAGCCTTATTCCAAAACAGTAACCAGGATGTGCATGAGGAGCACTCTGTCAGCGTGGCAAAGAGTGCAGATTTTAGAATCACAGTGAGGGTTCAAAGCTCATCTCTGCCACTTATATGGGTGACCTGGGACAAATGTCTTAACCACTCTAAGCCTCAATTTTGTTATCTGTAAAATGGGAGATAATGACAGCACCTAACTCAAGGTTTGCATGAGGATTAGGTGAGATCAGAGGTTTAAAGACCATAGCACATAGTAAACGCTCAATGAATAACAATAGTTCACTCAACAAACATTTATGGAGCCCTGGCCCTGTGCCCTCCACTGTTAAAAGTGCTGTGGATTAAGTGGTCCTCCTCTCCTGAAACGTACAAACTAGTGGAGGAGACAAAAAATAAATAGGGATATGCTCTTTTATCAGTGTGACTTAAAAAAAGAAGGCGAAAAGGCCAAGGTAGTAGGTCCTACTAAGTAGGATAATGTGACTGGGACTAATTTAATGCCAGCCAAGGAAGGCCTCTCTGAAGCTTCATTAGCAATAGGCGATATATCAAACCTACTGCTATCTCAGTACCTCTAGGCAACAAATCGTGACCGAGAACGTTCCTGAACTATTCAGTTATCAGCTGAGGCAAATCCTAACAAATGGTTGCAGCCGAGACATAAAAGGGCTGCATCTCTAGCAGGGATGAAAACTCTCCTAGTGGTAGGACCCAGTTAGCGAGGAGATTATGGGACGGCTCGCCACTGAGATCATCAACAGAAGGACCAAGGGTTAATGGAGCTGCTAGTTGCTGTTTAATCAGTTTCCACATCTGGGTAGTCTGAGGGAGGAGGGCAGCTTCTCATCTCGGACTATTTTATTGAAGCCAAGGGTGGGGGGAAGGAGGGTAAAACTGAAACAGCAAGCTTTGGAAATAAAAACTTAATTCCCCTCCCCTCCCCGCCCTCCTTGAATGTCTGAGAAATGCAACTCAGCCTTATGTAGTTAGAGGAACAGGTGGAGTTCTGTTTCCTCCAGGGAGCATGCCCTGCCTCCACCCCCGCCGGGAAGAGCCACCTTTCCTGGCATCTCCACAGCACCCTGAGCGGATTCTGGAACCATTTCCTGCTGTGTCTGTCTCTCTCATCAGACTGAGCGCACGGGCAGGTGTCGTGCCTCCCTGTGCCTCACACTGTTGGGCAGAGTGGATCCTCCGTAAATGTTAGGCAGTTGATGGCGCATCCCATACA